AACATCTTAAAATCTTTAAAATACAAATAAAAATACAGATTAAAAACAGTTCAAATCAGTCTAAAAATTAAGCAACCAATTGGTTGTCAACAGGTGACTATTTTAAGTCACTCTCTTTTGTCTATCACTTTCTTTTTTTTTGTTCAAAATTCTTTTTTTACTCTTAAAAAACTGGTTCTTCATGTGAAACTCCATTTTGTACAGGTATTTCTTCTGGTGTAGCATGACCATTCTTGATAACTCCGTTAGTGATTGGTTCTTTAATATTTTCACTGTTTTTTTTCTCTTCAGCTTCTTTTGTTGAACCATTTGTAGTAGCTGTAGTGGGCTTCCTGATGGGTTGAGGTTTACTTGCAATAGCTTTTGCTGCAGCTGTGACTGCTGTGGCAGTTTTAGAAACTGTTGTCTTGTTGGCTGTATTTCGAGACACTGTAGTACGGGTTGCTGAAATTAATTTGTTTGTAGATTCCTTTGTTTGTTTATCAATAGGTTTTGTTGGAGGTGCCTTCGCACTCAATAATGAAGACTTTGCAGTGTTAGTTGAGGTTGCAGTAGCAGGGCGAGGCCTAGCAGCAACACCTGTGGCTGTAGAAGGCTTAAGCTTTGCTTCAGAGACTGTTGAAGCTGGCTTAGGTTTAGGCGCAGCTGTGGTCAAAGGCGTTTTTCTTGCTGGAACAGTACGTGCTGTGGTTGTGGATGTAGTGGAGGCAGATGTCTTTGACGCAGTTGTACTGACTGTGCTTGAAGCTGTGGGTTTTGAAGAAGTTCTGGCAGGTGCAGTTGCAGGCCTTGTTGGTGGCTTTGTAAGGGCCTTTGCAGCTGCTGGCTTTGAGGCATCCCCATTGGTGAGAGGCTTTTTCTCAGCTAGAGGTCGCGGTGAAGGCGTAATCCTTGGTTTAGGTGGGGCCGGCTTTGCAGTTGGTGGTGCTTTGCTTGCCGCTTCTACAGGCTTTGGCTTTGGTGCTGCTGTGGTTCGAGGTGCTGCTGCTGTGGTGCGAGGTGCTGCTGCTGTCGTTCGAGGCGCAGCTGTCGTTTTAGGTGCTGATGTTTTAGGTGCTGTTGCTGTTGCTGTTTTAGGGGCTGCTCTGGCAGCTGGAACAGGGGGTACAGCTGACTTCTTTGGTGCAGTAGCTGAGGTAGTTGTAGACGGTCTTGAGGTGGTTGCCTTGATTGGGGCTTTTGTAGCAGGTGCGGGCTTTGCCTTAGTGATAGGTGCTTTGCTTGTAGTTTTCTTGTCAGTCTTGGAAACAGCAGCAACTCCAGCAACAGCTGCAATAGTTGCAGCACCAACAGCGGTAGCAGCAATTGCAGCAGATTTGTTCAGAGAATCTGACTCGGGGATATTCTCAAGACCAACCTGCACCTCTTCACTCACATCCAAGTCGACAACAGGGATTTCTGGCACTGAGTTTGACTCAGTAGCCAAAACTGCTTCCACAATGGGTTCAGAGACTGAAAGAGGAACTACTGCAGCAGTTTCGTCAATTCCATTAACTAGGTCTTGAGTAACTGGATGAATTGGAGCAGACACAGTGTCATTCTCAGAAGACAGAGGTGCAGTTTCTTGCATATGATATTCAGTCACATCTGGAACACAAGCATTCAATTCCATGCCCACAGGTTTAGAATCCAAAGTCTCATCTAAAGCACTGTTATTGGCAGAGAGAATTGAATTATCAAATGCATTTTCCTCGGGAAAAACATCAGGTCCTGTTAATTCTGTGGCAGGCGTTACTGGTGGTTCTTCAACAGTTAAATCAACAACATCCGGTTTGGCAGGAGAAGACTCAATCACAACAATATCATCCTTGGGAGCAAACTGTTGGGAATCCTCTGCAAATCCTTCATTCAGATCATTTGTACGGTCATTTACATCATCTTGCGGTAGAAACTGTGAATTAATTTCCGCAGCAGCACTTTGAGAAAATGCATCAAGCTTTTCTTGCTTAACGGAGTCAGGCACAGACTCTTGTTGATTAACTGCCTCAACCATAGGCTCGAATTCAAATGCATCACCTTCGAATGGGGTTGACTGAGCAGATATGTGGCTTGGAGAACTTGGCACAACATTTGAGGGAGCTTCCATCATAGTATCAAAACCTGAGTTTGAATACAATACCGCTTCATTCAATGGCTCAGCTGAGGTGTCAATGGTTGACAAACCATGACCAAATGATGGTGCCAAGAAAGAATTTTTCTCTGGAACATGTTCACGTGCAAAATCGGATGAGCCTGACACAATAGGAGATTGCATGAGATCATCTGCAGATGGCTTGTAAACATGCAAATTGCCATTAGAAACATCCACATCATTTAATAATTCAGTTTCATTTGATTCATGAAGCTTGAATTGCTCATATTGTGGTTCAGCATGAACAATCACAGCAGGTTGATCAAACTCGAATGGATTCTTGTCTTTGATTTGTTCAGTGATCTTAAACTCATCCTTGTCATCAGCAGAACTGATTTTTTCATGATCTAACTGGGATTCAACGGGGATGCTTTCCTTGATTTCCTCTACATCTTCTGACTGAACGTGAATCGGATTAACAATCTTTTCAAGATCTGCTGATTGAGCATCGATGGAACTGATGATTTCCTCATGGCCTTCAACATCAGCATCAAGATTGAGGATACTCTCCGGTTTAGCTTGGTCGGACTCCATAACAGGATCAGTTGAGAAATTCTCTGATGTAACTGGTTTCCACAAAGTCGAAATATCATGCTGAAGGGTGCTAGTCGGCTCGAGTGGGTTGGTAGGCTCCAGGGGGCCGGTTGTTCCCACCTCATTAAATCCAATTTCATCAATCAATCCTTTTGTAGATTCAGGAGCAATCAATTCTTCAACTTTTGTAGATCCAGAAGCAATCAATTCTTCAACTGCCGTACACTCAGAATCAATTAATTCTTCAACTTTCATAGATTCAGAAGCAAGCTTTGATTCAACTGTCTCCACTGGGTTGGAGATAGGTGATGCACCACAAAACTCATCAAGAGCATTCTCATTCTCTGAGACTGTAAATTCACAAAGTGTTCCTATATCTGAGCAAATATCTTGAGATTTAGAGACATTAAATGGATTCAAACTCTCAATATTTGTGACAGATTCTTGAATGCCGTTTTCAATGCCACATACATCATCTTCCATAATATTCTTGCTGTTTTCCAATGATTCAATGATAGAATCAGTACCTTTCGATTCAAAGACAGAATCGCTACCACCCGTTCCATTCAATGAGTGTTCTACATCCAAATCTCCAGGGCGCTGACTAACTTCTCGATCAAATTCATCTTCTGGCGGTACATTAACATTATCTAAAGGAACACCACCTTTCTTGGGAGAGCTAGAAAGCCATACTTCATCTTTACCATTTAAATCTTCTACAGGCGAAGACTCAATGGCTGAAACTGGGTCATGGGCAATGAAGGACGATGACATGACGTTGTCTTTGTTGAAAAATTCCTCTTGAGTCAGATTCTCGTTGAAGGGCTGCTCAATATGGTTGCTGTTTTCGGTGGGAGATGATGGAATAAATACTGCAGCATTAGGATTTAACTGTGACTCCATCTCTTCACTATCACCAGACTGAAAATAAAAAGGACCAAGTTCATTACCATAAAATAGAACTTCCACAAAACAGTCGTTTTTCACCATGGAGTGATTTAAAAGTATTAATAAATATAAATAGCAAGCGAACTTACATCAGGATTTTGTTGGCCCGACTCCTTGTCACCAGTGGGTTCAACACGGTAGTAGTTCCACTCGTCTTCAGATTCTTCCCCACTCTCTCCTACATTGTCTTCAGCGCCACCTAAAAAAAGAGAAAAATAGACGAAATTACAATAAGTACAATAACATTGAAGCAAATGCATAATTGTTTGTGGAAAGTTTAAAAATTCCCCCTTTCCCTCCCTCAAGAAAAATAATAATTAAGAAACAATACAGCAACTGTGGACACCCAGTGTACAACCAACTATCGAGGCTTGATGCACCAGTTCAATGTTCAATAAAACAAAACCAGCGACAAGGGCCGACACCACAACGCAAAGTGACAGCTCCAAGAGGAATTCTTGCCGGCGGAAACGCCTACCCCTCCCTCCCCGGCCTCCTCGTCTCTCCGCACCACGCCCGTCGCCCGGCCCCGCCCCGCAGTCGTGAGGTGAGATACTGCGTGGTGACTCACTGGCCAGGTTCCTGCCGCGGCCTGCGCCCCGCCCGCGGTCTGCCGGTGCCGGTGCCGGTGCCCGGGTCCTGGGCGAGGCCCGTGGCCGGAGCCCCCCGATGTCCTCGTCAGCCTCCTGAGCCAAGCCCTGCGCCCCTCCCAGCCCGGAGAGCACGGTCCCGCTCGCGGCGGCGGCCCCAGACAGCACACAGTCCATGTTCCCGGCACACTGACTGAACCGAACCGACTGAGCTGAGCCGGGCCAGGACGCACCGCCAGCCGGCCGGCTTCCTCGACGAGGCGGGGCGGGGCGGGGCGACCTCCACCCCGCGGCCTCCCCGCGCGGGCCTCCCCCCTCCGGTCCCGAGGGAGGGAGCAGCGCGCGGCACTGCGGGCGGACAGTGCACTCACCCCTCCTGCCAGAGCCGCAGCAGCCTCGGGGAGGGGAGCCGCATCGATCTATATCGCCCCCCCCCCCCCTGCACGCCTACACTCCGAAAAGTCACCCCCTAACCAACACCCTCCGGGTACGCACCACACACACACACAGCCCAAAGGCGCAACGAATCGGATAACAGGCGAAGATACGTCACCACTGACGGGCAAACAGATGACTTAATCGCCCCGTCCCACCGACCCCACCCCACCCCTGTCCACCCCTGCCGCTCCAACCCTCGCAGCCGGGGCGACATCGGGTCGGGAGGGACGAAGGAAGGGGCAGCAGGACCTTCCAGGACAACGCGGAAACGGGTAATGACCGTGTCGGAGCTGCTCGCGACGACCGGCGCGCTGGGATCCAATGAGTTTATTCAGCGGGTATTTCTCTAAGGGCGTAGAGTCCTCCGGACGCCCCCCCCCCCCCCCCTCCTTACGACGTTCCCAGTCGGTCTCAAGACGATCAGAAACCAAAGCCCCGCCTTGTTCAATTCAACCTGCATCCAAACGTGTCGCAGAGTGTGGGCTGCACAGCACAGTCACAGGATACTAAAGGCACCAACCAGCCCCAGCCGAGCCCAGCAAGCCGAACCCAGCGTGCGCTCAACAGGTTGCACGAAAGGAAATGTGCATGAGAGGACTGAGGGAGAGGGGGGGGGAGGGGAGGGGGTCATCCTTCTATCCAGCCTCGCTCCAGATGCACCGGGAGCGAGCTGCAGCCCGGGCTGCGCTGGGCCGTGGGCGGCGGGGTCAGACCAAAGAGGGACACATAAGGGAGATGTGTGGGACGAACCAAGCCGAGCAGGGCCGACGGACC